TAATAAGCAGCCAAGAGTTAAGAAATGAACAGTCTCTCTCGAACGTTATACGAGAATTTCAAAAACCATACAAGACGGTAGAACCACCCTTTGCACTTTAGTGATTACAGCCCCTTCCAGACGGTCGCTTACGTGAACTTCCAAGAATTTAGCAGTGTGAGTGACTGGGCTAATTAGTTTTTAACAGCTATTCTTTGCTCGCTAATCACAGCAAATGTCATGACAGTATCCGCCGCGACAAGGGCATTTCAAAGCTACTGTTTATCTTCAAATCGTTGAGCTCGATCCGCTGCTTAATTTCCATCATGGCACTTTGCAGGTCAGACAATTCAGCAACGTCTCTGATAGCCAAAATCAGCTTCACAGCAGGCTGGTGATTTTAAACGGATTCAAGTAAAAGTAGAGTCGAAGTGGCGACAGCACGCAGAATGCCATGGCCATTTGGCATTTCGAAAGTGCAAGCACCGCTTTCCAGAACCAGTGAACTGCTGCCTTTCTGAGAAATAGTCAGCCAACCAGTGAAGCAAGTCTTCGGTAACTCCAGCATCTTACATGTAACTGAGCAAATAAAGAATACCACTTTAAGACTTAAGGTGAAACTTATTTCAAATAAATTGTTTCTATTCTTTGTATCTATAACAGCCCTGCAAACAAATGGCAGGATTAACTGCTGGGGATAGGTTTCTGTTCTTGAAAGAATCGGGCTGTACGACTGCATAAACCATGACCGAAGAATCTGGCACTTCTGATAGAAAAAATGGATCCTCAGCATCCTTGCTTATTCGATGTGCTGTTTCGATTTGTCAGGGCTGGCTACCGCCGTTCGGAAGATTTTCAGCGGAGGGCTGAAACGCAAGAATGCTGCACTGTTTGAATTGTGGAAAAAACATCAAGATCCGAATGAAACTCATAGTGAAAAACCTAAACCTAAAAACAAAGTAAAGCTTGTTTACCCGCAGCAGGAGGAACAGGATCAGGAAGCGAAACCGCCGACTGTTCAGTGTTAGAAGGCAATTCAAGGCCAGATTCTGATGTACTAAAGATCAGCGTCGAACGATTGATGTTTGACACTAAAACTACGCAATTAATATACAAATTCATTCTTTATTCATTCTGACAAACCTGCAGTCGGCACCTGGTCGTCCTCTAAATTCACATAACTTGTAGTGCTATCGACACGTTGCATTAAAACTGAACTAATGCCGGGAAGGCTGTCAGTGAGACTGGAAAAATAAGTGCACCAAACACAAGCTGCGTCTAGAATTAAAACAGTTAAAAATACAGCGCTTATCGCTTGAAGAAATTTGTAAGAAAATGCACATACAGCATATGTTCAACAGCTGATAATCAAAAATTCGATTCATAAACAAAATAGAAATAATACACAAAGCATATAGAAATAACTAACATATATGTACTCATATTTTGCACGTACGTGCTTGATACTGATGAATAATTTGAGTAACGTAAAAAGAACTTTTGATATTGTACAAGAATATTTGAATTTCTGGTACGAGACTGACCGGTGTAAGCGTATCGCCCTCTTGTTTTGAGTCGCATAGGAGGATAAGCCCGTTCGAGCACTAACTTATATGTAAGCAAACAGAGACAGAAAATAACTCGATGTTCTGCGATATTTGTTAGATTGTAGTTTTCGAATCCTGCCAGTTACTACGGCATTTCAATCTCTGTTACTGCAGTTGCTCGGCATGGGTACCTACTTGCTTCTAGGCGTATGCGAGGACCATTTACAGAGGCCACTGCATCGTGGCATTTGAACACCTGCAGTGCATTATGTTATGAATAACGCTGAAAACTGAAAGCTGTAATGTCGTAACTATCACACAACAACATCATAGTCACCTTTTGCATATACACTGCTCAAAGAGTAGAAACGTTTGGTGCACGATCAAGGTTTCG